GTACAAGACAGGAGGAGAAGGAAAATCTGTAAAGGTATCTGTACATGCTATATCTGCATCTCTCGGTATCCACCCATCTACCCACAAACTCATCCATGGATTTCCTCACTCATGCGCATACACACAAAGAATTCAGTCTCCTTTTCCTTGGGTACACTGTTGATGAACCAGCTAGCGGGGAGGGTATTGTGCCCTGACAATTCCAGACCTTGTGCTACATCCATTATTTATCTGCTGTATGCCCCCATTTCCCCATGAAAGTAGGACTCATGGGGAAATGGGGGCATACAGCAGATAAATAATGGATAAAAAAAGAGTTTGCTAGCACCTCCTTGTCAGTTACGCCAAGGCTGCCCTTTCTTTTTCCTATCAGCTTCTTGCCACCAAGGTGCTTTCTCAGTAAATTAGATCCATCTGTGTAATGTCTAGAGGTGCCAGTTACACTGCCCTCCTCAGCCTGGGCATTTGCAATTGCTTTGCCCCATGCTTTTCTTTTCTTTCCTTCCTTCCTTCCTTCCTTCCTTCCTTCCTTCCTTCCTTCCTTCCTTCCTTTTTTTTCTATATTTGGGACAGGGTCTACAGGGTCTCACTACATAGATTAGACTCTAGTGATCCTCCTGTTTTCAGCCTCCCAAGCGCTGGGAGTAGAGGCGCGCCACCACGCCCAGTCTCAATTGTGACTCAGCGTGCCCCAGGGGCTGGGCCAGCACAACAGGCCACACTGGTAATCAAACCCCGGCCACGGCGCTGTGCCTAAGCAGGTGCTTTAGTCAGCTGAGATATATCAGGCCAGCCCTACTCCATGCTTTTCTAAGGTGTAAATTAGCACGTTTTGTTGGTTTGCATTGCTTTGGTAAGATTGGCTACCTCCTCTTGGGGTGACTTCCAACAGTCTCCTCTTCTTCCTTCCCTGCTAACAGTTTAACTTTTCAGTGTCTGTGTAGGGTGTGTGAGGCAGTACGTGTCCAGTGGTTATCTGAGACTAGATAACCCAGGTAGGAATCATGGCTCTGTCCTCATCAGCGGGGTGTGGCTTGGAGCACACCACCTAGCTGCCCATGAAGTGTATTTATCACTGGAGATAATAACAGTTCAGAGAGATGCTGTGAGGGCACGTGGGTGAATAACACCCACAGCCACTAGGAGCCCATGTGTAACAGACCTGCTGAGTTCTATACTTCGCAGCTGCTAATTTCAACTCTGTGGTTTCTGTTTCTATCCATAAACTCTCTCCTGAATTCCAGGATAATATGCCCAAATTTCTCTGAAATCCACTCTGACTGCATCACAGAGGATGAAAAAGAAAAAATATTATAGGACACCATTAATGTAGTCACCCTTCCATCCATCCATCCATCCACCACCCCACCCACCTATCCATCCATCCATCTATCCATCCATCCACCCACCTACCCATCCATCCATCCATCCATCCATCCATCCATCCATCCAT